ATACAAATGTCTCTGCAGTAGGATGAGTTCTTTGGGCATATGCCAAGGAATGATATCAAGTTGGCTTTATTCCAGAGATGCAGGGATGGTTCAATATACATAAGTCAATGAAGGCCTTTGACAAAATTCATCATGCATTTATGTTCAAAGTCCTAGAGGGAATTGGACTGGAGGGAACATGCCTCAACATAATTAAAGCCAAATATAACAAACCCACAGCCAACATCATTCTAAATGGAGAAAAACTGGAAGCATTCCCATTGAAATCAGGAACCAGACAAGGTTGTCCACTATCTCCACTCCTCTTTAACATAGTGCTTGAAACTCTTGCAAGAGCAATAAGACAAGAGCAGGAAATCAAAGGAATAATAATTGGAAAAGAAGAGATCAAATTATCCCTTTTTGCAGGTGATGTGATATTCTGCCTAAGAGACACCAAAAATTCCACCAGAAAACTCCTGGAAATTATAAACATGTTCTGTAAAGTGGCAGGTTACAAAATTAATTTACAGAAGTCTGTAGTCTTTCTATATACCAATAACAACCAGTCAGAGAAAGAGTACATGGAAACACTCCCCTTCACAATAGCTGCAAAAAAAATAAAATGAAATATCTCAGAATAAACCTGACCAAAAACATTAAAGACCTCTATAATGAACATTTTAAGTCTTTAAAGAAAGAGATTGAGGAAGACATCAGAAGATGGAAGGACCTCCCATGCTCATGGATTAGAAGAATTAAAATTGTGAAAACTAGCATCCTACCAAAAGCCATTTATAGATTCAATGCAGTGCCAATCAAAATCCCCATGACATTTTTCACAGAATTGGAAAAAACAATCCTAAGATTCATATGGAAGCACGAAAGACCTCGGATAGCCGAAGCAACCCTGAGCACTACGAGCAATGAATGCTGGGGGGGTTACTATACCAGATTTTAAACTGTATTACAGAGCTATAGTCATAAAAACAACATGGTACCGGCACAAAAATAGACCCATAGATCAATGGAACAAAATCGAAGACCCAAATATGAGTACATGCAATTTCGGCCACCTGATATTTGACAAAGTGGCCAGGAACACACAATGGAGGAAAGACAGCATGTTCAGCAAATGCTGCTGCCAAAACTGGATCTCCACCTGTAGAAGAATGACCCTAAACCCCTATCTTTCACCATCCACAAAAGTTAATTCCAAATGGATCAAAGATCTCAATGTGAAGCCTGAAACTCTGAAATTGTCAGAAGAAAACATTGGGGAAAACCTACAAGATATAGGTGTAGGAAAGGATTTTCTAAACTGGACATCAGTTGCTCAGGAAACAAGGGCAAGAATCAACAAATGAGACCTCATTAAACTAAAAAGCTTCTGTACATCAAAGGAGGCAACCAGGGAAGTGAAGAAAAAAACCCACAGAATGGGAGAAAATCTTCACCAGCGACACACCTGACAGAGTTTTAACATCCAGAATATATAACAAACTCAAAAAAACAGAATCAGGAAAGGAAGTAACCCAATTAAAAGATGGGCTAAGGAGCTGAACAGAGTTCTCAAAAGAAGTAAAGACGGCTAAGAAGCATCTTAAAAGATGTTCAACATCACTAGTAATTAGGAAAATGCAAATTAAAACCACTTTAAAATTTCATCTTTCCCCAGTCAGACTGGCTAAGATCAAGAGAACAAATTATACCAAATGTTGGAGAGGATGTGGGGAAAGGGGAACACTCATCCATTGCTGGGGGGACTGCAAACTTGTTCGAAAGCAGTGCGGAGAACTCTTAAAAAATTACAAATGAATGTTTTAATTCTTTTAAAAGACTTTACTGTCTTGACTTTGTGAACTTATATATGGTTTGTTTGTTTGTTTCTCTAAATTAAACCTCTTTTACCCTTCTTTATGGGACCAACTAGTCTGAACAAAGGTGATGACCAAATTTAGGTGAATGTGAAATTGTTATTTGGGATGGCTGAGAGTTGGGAAAGTTTCACAAGGACATTTATTGAAGTCCTGCGTGTTCTTGAAAATGCTGCCTCCTCAAAAGCTGAAAGTTCAAGGTCTGTTTGTTTGGCAATATCCTTAAGTAGGAAGCCTAATTGGTCTCTTCCCCCTCTTTTCCCCAATACAAATTAAAACCTTTTACCAAGTCCTAAAATACTTGAAATAATATAGTGTGATACTAGGAGACATGCAAACATTTTGTAAATTCTATATTCAGAGCTTCACTTACATATCTTTAAAATGTGTCATTTCATACCTTTTTTGCAATATTTATCATTTCTTTACTTATGTACTTGTCCAGGTAACATATATATTTATACCCTAAGTAGAAATATTTTTAGTATAAGTACTAGAAAAATTGCACTGAAGAATGAGCCTGTTTATTTCTGAAGTTTGTTAACGTTTGCATTATCCTCCAAAACTGCCAGAGCAGCACAGCCAGAAATAGTGTTCCTCTCTCACCATTTCTCCGCCCGTCTGTGAATGGCAGTGGGACGTTAGCCCCTGTCTTCTCCTTTGTTTTCTCCCTCTTTTATGTGAGATTATAGTGTTGATACTAAATTTTAAATTTTTAAATATGAAGATAAAATCCTGAAAGTACAGTATCTGCTGTCCAGAAATATACAGTCTAGGTAAGGATGCATAGTATTATCTACAAAAGAATTCCTGCAATATTAGTAAATGATTAACCCCAAATAATTAATTACCTGAAAGGCCACTTGCTATCTGATAACAATGGGCAAGATGCCTAACTTTACCAAGCATTGTTTCCTCATGTATGTAATCAAGATACTACCAGTCCTGCTTAGAGTGTTGTATTGATGACCAAATGAGATCTACATTTACACAAGTTAAAAGTCAAAAATAAGGCTGGGCTGTAGTTCTATGGTAGAACATATGCTTAACATGCATGAAGCTCTGGGTTTAATCCTCATCACCACACAAAAAATAAAAGTTACAAGGTTTTAAATATGAATGTGTTATTATTGCTAATATTATTAAAGTTTATTTCAAATATTTTTTTTAAAAGAACATTACTCACCAGGCATGGTGGCACCTGCCTTTAATCCCAGCACTTGGGAGGCAGAGGCAGGTGGATCTCTGTGAGTTCAAGGCCAGCTTTGTCTACATAGAGAGTTCCAGGACAGCTGAGGCTACAGAGAGACCCTGCCTCAAAAAAAAGACAACAACAAAAAGAAAGAACATTATTCAATACTTACCTGAACTTTTTCTGGGGAGTTTCTTCTTAACCTGTTAGGCCTTTTCAGTCCCTAATTTGTTCATCCCTTTGAAAGATTTCTGAGTTCTACAACTGATTTCTGTTTCAAAATTACCACCTCCTACTTTACCCTTGGTTTCTCTTTATCTTGGTTAATTCTCGGTCATAAAGACTGGCCAAGATACAGAAATACAGATTTTCTTGATTTCATTTTTCAGCTGCCTCCATTTCTTACGGTTCTTCTTTTTTTCTTTTTTTTTAATTTTTTTATTTATTATTTTTATTTTATGTATATGCGTGTATTGCCTGCATTGTAGGTAAGTGCACCTGTGTCATGCAATGCCCACAGAGAACAGAGAGGCTGTCGGATCCCCTGGAACTGGAGTTACAGACAGTTGTTAGCTGGCATGTGGGCTCTGGGATTCGAACCCGGGTCTTCTGCAAGAACAACCAGTGTTCTTAACCGCCAAGCCATCTCTCCAGCCCCTTCTTATGGTTTTTCAAACCAGATACTAAATATGAGAAGTTAACCTCTAAACTTGACAGGTTCCCAAAGATATTCTGTGATAATTGTAATTTTATTTTTCCTCTGGGGCCCCAAAATATATGCTCCCTCCATCCTTCCTTCCTCCCTCCACCCTTCCTCATTCCTCTCCTGAGACAGGGTCTCACTTTTGTAGCCCAGGCTGGCCTACTATGTAGCCCAGCATAGCCATAAGTTGTGATCATCCTCCCTCACCTCCCAAGTGCTGGGAATACAGGCATGTGCCATCATACCCACATCTCTCCTTCAGTCCTGAGAGCTGAGTCCCTTAGTTCATCACCTTTTCTAGTTAAGTTCCTTTTTCTGTATCCTTTCCCTTTTTGTAGTAACAAAGTGTTTTTTTTTTCTTAAAGAAAAATTGAGGGTTTTTTTTCCCTAAATTCATCTTCCCTTGTACTCTGCAAAATCCAGAACTCCACTTAAATTTTCAGAATGAAAACTTCATTAAAATAGAATTGTGGAAATTACTCATAAGTTTATTTCTTTTCTTTGGCAGTAGGTACATTTGAATTATAGGAAAAGAAAAGAAACTAAGTGTAAAACTCTCCTGAGATAACATCCTTTATTCTTTTACAGTTATTACTGAAAAAAAAACCTTAATTTGGATTTTAGTGTTTTTCATATTTTTAATTTCTAGGGTTATGAACATGTTTCTATTCATGTACAATTATTAGTAAAACTAATAAAATTCTAGAACTTTCAATTTTTTATTTAATTAAAATCATTATTTCTTAGTAGGCCACTTAAAAGTGGTATATAAAGGATTAAAACTATAGAAAGGAATTGTTCCAGAAAGCCTATATTGCTTCCTTTTTGAACAAGTGCTTTCTACTATATTTCTACTTAGATACTGTTTTTTATTTGTGTGTGTGTGTGTGTATGTATAAACATAGGCCAGGAAATAAAGTTAAGTGGAAAAAGAAAAAGATGAAAAGAATAGAGAGATGTTGTTGGGACCTTTGGGGTTCTCTAGGAATCCATGAAAATAGTAAATACCTTCTTGGTAATCCTATAAACTTAGCACTAATAGGCCTAACTTGGGTCATTTAGCATTGGCATATAAATTTGCTTGTATAATGGTTTTAATTATTTAAACTTCTGGAGATGAAATGATCATAGTAACTTTTAAAAATAATATATGTTACTAGTATTCCCATCTACTCATGGATTTCAAATCATAAACAGATTAATTTCTACTTTTGATTTGTTTTAAAACATTTATTTTACTCTTTTCCAGCTACATTGACAAACTATTCTGAAAACATGGAGCGTACAAAATATGTTGGAGAAAGCAGTAAAGAATTAGGATCTGGAGGAAACCTAAAACCATGGCAGTCCCAAAAATCCAGCATGGACTCCTGTCTGTATCGAGTAGATGAAAACATGACTGCCTCCACCTACAGTCTGAACAAGATCCCAGAGAGGAATTTGGAAACAGTGTTGTCACAGTCAGTGCAGTCTATTCCTTTGTATCTCATGCCTCGGCCAAATTCAGTAGCAGGTAAAGTTTTGGGGGGTTTTTTGTAATTACTACTTTACTGAGTATGTAGAGAAATGAAAATAAATCATGTTTTAATCATATTTACAACTTTTTTTTCCTTAATCAGGTAGCCCTGACTGTCCTGGAACTCGTTATATAGACCAGGCTGGCCTAAATTCAGGCTGCCTCTGCCTCCTGAGTGCTGGTTTCAAAAGCATGAGCCACCAAGCCCTACAGTTTTTAGCACTTCTGTTCAACTTCTTTAACTCATTATTTTGTGCTTTGGTAAAATACATGCATATGCTTTTTGAACCTGGGAGAAGCTTCATTTTTCTCAAGTCGTTTGCTTAGTTCTACTGCCGTGATACACAGAAGTGCATAAAACCAGAAAGAGAGGACATAAAGTATGTCATCAAACCACTGTCTTTTATCTCAGATCAGAACTATTTATAAGAATTTTAGCTTGAACTTTTAGTTTTTTGAAACTTTTCAATAAATATTATTTAATTGAAGCATATTCATTGCACTTTGTATATCAGAAATGATCATCCATAGTTTGAGAGTATAACAAGCAGGGAAGAATTCAGGGAAGAGTTTGGTATTTTCACAAAATCCTGCCTATCTTCAAAGAATCACTAGGAAACTACATTTCCAAAAAGCAGCTCAAAGGCGGCAGCAAGGTCAGTTAACAAAGGAATGACATGGAAAGTTAGTGACTGAAATAAGTCATTTTTCCTTAGCACCCACTTAAAAGTGACATCAAGGGACATTTTGATACAGGTAAGTTGCTGTTTAATAATTCAAACCAGGAGTTTTGTAAAACTAGTCATCCTGATTATTTTTAAAATACATCATCATCTGGACTTTGTCCACACTATGGTCAGGCTCTTATTTCTCAGCTACAATCGTTTGTTATGTGCCCAGGTGTGGTGGTCCACACCTATAATTCCAGCACTGGGAGGTGGAGGCAAAAGGGTCAGAAATTCAAGACTACCTTCAGCTACATAATGAGTTCAAGATCAGCATGGGGTACCTAAAACCCATTTCAAAACAAAATTATTCATTATGCTGATGATAGTGTGGTGCTTCTTGCCAGTGCTGTTTCCCTTTCCTACCTGTTCTTTTGATTCTCACCTCAGAAAAATGATCAATATCTGTTCTCAGGTATGATTATGGGGAAATAGCTCATCTGTTAGATTCTTCACTTTTAAATAGTGACAGCAAATTTTCTCTCCTAGGTCCCTATATAAATATGTTGATCCTCAACAATGTCTTATTATGTTCCTAGAATATTATAACATGAAAATCCAAGCAAATTCAGCCTTTCCAGAAAGCAAGCATATAAATCTTTGCTTATGTATAAATGAGGAAATATATCAACCCCCCCTTAATAATGTATCCCAGTTTACTTCCTAACTAAGCTACAATACCTTTTAAGAAAATTCTGTCTATATTATTTGAAAAGGCATTGAGTACTTAGTGGTAGACAGAAGAGAGAGAGAAGCTTTATTTCAGTGAGCTGTGCATTTCAGTCATTGCTTACATTGTCATTCATTAACATTCTGTGCTACCCAACAAAGGTTGTTCTCCATCACACTCTGATCAAAGTTGACTGAGTGCTTCCTAAAGCTTCCCTTAGCCCAGGCAAACCTGTAACTGTTCTGCCTCTGTGTTGGTCGTATTTTCCTTCTTTTGTTGTATCTTGTGCTTTAGAGCATTGCCACAACTGAGAGGCCCATGGTAACTCAGAATAATGAATTTAGTATTTTGTTATTAGCCTCAAAAGCCATCAGGAATACATGTAAATAGCCACCAATAAGTAATAAGCCACAGGCACCTACCAAATCATGTATGTAATGCCCAGCCACCTTTTCCAGGCTGAACTCAGATGCATCCTCCTTCATGAAGCTTTCCCCAATCCATATGCCCTTACATTCTCAGCCACAAGTAATTGTTTCGTCCTCTAGACTCTTCTTATCCTTTCTATGCATTTTCTTTTCGTGTTGGCAACAGATTACTTTGCACTTTGGTCTAACAATTGGAATATAAACATTTTTAAGATTAGGAACTGAGCCCAGGCGTGGTAGTGCACGCCTTTAGTCCCAGCACTCGGGAGGCAGAGGCAGGCGGATCTCTGTAAGTTTGAGGTCAGCCTGGTCAACATAGTGAGTTCTAGGTCAGCTGAAGCTAGAGGAAGACCCTGTCTCAAAAAGACAAAAAAAAAATTAGGAACTGAGAATTCTCTAATAGACTCACTAAAATTTTTGGTTGAGTGAACTAATTATTATAAAGCTGTGAAATCAGCTTGAAACAAAAATACAACCTAATACATCAATGGTATTTTTTCTTTGTTATTCAATAGAGTACAGTCATTTCAAAGAGAATTATGAAAAGTGAAAGGACTGGGTACCTTCATTTAAAGAAAACAAGATTTATATGAGATTGTAATAGAAGCTAGCATGAAACAATTTTAGATTTTCTGTGACTTGTCAATACTTCTGCAAAAGTTCCTGAGCCCTGGGTAAGTAAAGTTTACTATAGGAGTCCTGTCCAGGAACCAGCATTCTGCAGACCTATGCTTTAGCTATTTGTGACCTTTTGTGTTCCTGGCCCTCTGTCACATGAGGGAGCTTCATTAATGAGAAATGAGAGATTCATTAATGTCCTCTTCATCCCTTGTACTATGTTCCATGAGCCTTAGATGTAGCAGTTACATTGTAGATGTGCCACTTAGGCTTGGGCAACTCATAGACAGTGTCTCTGTGTGACCAGTTGTGAAACTTTAATCGTCTCCATCTGGTGCGAAAGAAGCTTCTTTGATGAGTGGTGACAGGGATGTTTGTCTATAAATATAAGGATACATATTTTTCACATAGTAAGAAATTACATTAGTCTAGGGATGTGACAGTCTTGGGGTTTTCTCTAATATCTATGACCTCTCCAGCCATGTGTATTTGACTGTTTACAGTACCACACATGAGTTTCTTCCTATTGAGTGGACTTTTAGTCCAATTAGATTGATTGCCCCCACTATGAGCCCATTTTGACCCACACTGTTTTTGTAAAGAATCTTTCTTCGCAGCATAGTCATATACATTTGTTTACTTCATGACTGCTTTTGCACAACAGTTGAGTTCTTACAACAGAAACCATGTGGCTCACAAACCTAATTTCTTTATTGACTTTACGTAAAAAGGGCAGTCCCTCCTTTCTAAGATCTTTTCCTTGCATTCGTTTCAGTCCAGGTCAGTCCAGTTCAGCTGTATATCTTAGACAAGGTTGCTGCACTGCAATAAAACTACCTATATGAAAAAAAAAGCTACCTATATGGACAGAAGACAAAGACTTCAAACGATGAAAGGGCAAAAAATATGTTTTGTTATTAAGTTTTATTTATTCTTATGTTTCTATGATGTACATTTGACTAGATTGTCATCCATATGGTATATAGACAGTGCCTAGTAATAAACTGGTTATCTGCATAAATCTGGACCCCCATGTTTCAGGAACTTAGAAATTATTATGGCAATGAGAAATCTCCTAATGTTCTAATTTTTGTCATCTTTTTAGTGTACTGAAGAGATTATAAAGTATTTTTTCCTTTTTGAGAGGAAACATCTATAAGCAATTCATTATCTTATTACACCTTGGGGTTTATGAAATGATCAGAACTCAGAGACCAGTTAAACAACTATGCTTCTCCCCTCACGTCCTGTAAAATTTTTGTACAACAGCTGTCAGAAGCTTCAATCATTTGAGCCAGCGAGGTGGCTCAGAGGGTAAAAGCACTTGCTGCCAAGCTTGACAACCTGAGTTCAGTCTCAGACCTACAGAGTGGAATAGGAGAACCAACTTTTCCAAGTTGTCCTCTGACCTCTGCAGACTCACGCATACACATGCACATGCACACAAATGAAGTTGTGTGTTTCCATTACAGTGAATAGAACACAAGTTTCTGCACCAGCTATTTTGATCACCAGGTAAAGACATCATTTGATATGTTTAGAAAACAGCTTTACAGAGCAACATTTTATCAGGCAGAAAGAATCTTCTTGGGCTACAAGATTGTATTTTATTTAGAATTTCTTGTTGTACGAACTGATACTTTATAGTTAGTTTAAAAAATATTTAATTGTGGTCACCTTTTATGGACTTGTCATTTTGTTTGTGAATTTTTCAGCATTCTAAATTATACCCTAATGATGTATATTTACAACATCATCTTTACTACACGTGTTAATGTAATTGTGGATACAATTGTTAGGTCAGTTAGGTTGCTTATCTGTTGGAACAGTGATTGAAATAATTTATAGCAAATATTAGATGAATTTTAGGGAAAACACAGTGAAGATATTCTAATTGATATGCATTGTTGCATGTAGTATACTTAGCTAAATGTGATATGTGCTGCAGTACAATAATTTATAAAGTACTGTAGGAACACAAAGGAGGACACATAAAAAGGGAGAGTGGGATAGACAAGAGTAGAACACACCACAGAAAACTACATGTGAGAATTTACCAGGAAGATAAGCAGGAGAGAGGACTGGACCATCAAGAAGTTAAGTGATAAAGCACATTAATGTTTCTGCATGAATAGAATGCAAGCAAAGAATGACAGGTGATAGTGACAAGTGATACCAAGGACCTTGTTCTTTCATGAACAGCATTGACATTTTCATCTTGTTCATAGTAGAGAATCCTTAAAAGAGTTTAAGCACAAATTCTATTATTAATTTTACAGTTAGAAAAGTAACTGTTTGCATCTGTGTAGAGTAGGTAGAAGAAGGCTAGCATGGCATTAGGATAATAACGTTTAAGGAGAATAATGTTTCTGCTATTTTGCTAAATTACAAGTAATTGGTTGAAGGTCATATTAATGAGTTAAGAGAATGATTTAAGAGATTTTTTGCTATTAAAAAAAATATTAGTTTTTTTTTAACCAGAGAGATGCAAAGAAGAAAACAAAGCAGAAGATGAGCCTAAATTCCTTAATCAGTGGTGTCTGTTTACATAGTCTA